AAACTGCAGAGTTGTGCCTTAGAGATTAACTACAAATGGAAATACAGCTGAGGGACAATGAGTCCTTCCTACTGCCGAGTGTGAAGCATCTCTCCACCTCCAGTACCACCATGTTATATTGTAGTTGACATCTACTATGATTCTCAACCACCCAATATCTTTTGACCACTATGTGCCCCCCCCAAAAGAGAGCAACAACCTGCTTTCCAATTGGAGTACATGTTATGTGACTGAGGCTCTACCAATTAGACACAACCACACAGGAATCTGATACCCTGTGTGGTTGAGAGCAATGAGAGCAATGTGAAGAATCCATCTTTGGCCACAGTGATTAATCCACCTTCCAAGGGCAGCAAAGATAAAGATTCTGGTATCAACTGCCCAGAGGCATAACCAGTGAGTTTTCACTGGACCAGTTCTAGAGTGGTCTGGGCATTCTTCTTAGCTGGCTGCCTCTATTTCTGACTACCTGGTCCTTTTGTAAGACATTTGACATGCTTAATAAATATCTTTTCTGCTTTAACAAGGTAGAAGACAGTTCTGTTGCTTGCACTCAATGCCATAGCTATGTACAGGGTAGTCCTGGTAATGCAAACACTTAAAAATTAGAAAAACAAATTCCAGGCATCCTTCAGTGTTAAAAAAAAAAAAAAGGAACAATTTCATTAGCTCTAGACACTATTTACATAATACCTTCAAAATAGGAAGCCATGAAACATGCCTTCCCTTAGAACATCCTATCTTTTCTAAATGTAAGTTTTTAAGAACGGGCTCTGTTAAAATATGTCTTGGTTTTAAGTAGACATCATTATATCTGAATGACCAAAAGTTGTAACATTCCAAACTCGAAAAATCAAATACAGCTGACTCTTACTATCTTGACTTGCTGAAATCCTTTGGAGATTTTATGGATAATGATTCTAAACTCATCCAAAATGTTTATTCTAGGCTCCAAAGCTTGTGTTTAAGCCCAAAGTGAAATCAAGTTCATTACCTACTGTGAAAAGATTAAAGGGTAATGTCATTTCTATTGTTCCCACTCCCGTTCTTGGCTATGAAAACATAACACATTCACCCTGGAGATTCATGATAAAGGAGAACTGTAGCGGGTAGATTTTACTGCTTAATAAATGCATTAACTTTGAATCTAGGTATAGAGTAGAGGGTTTTCTACGGCAGTGGTTCCCGAATCATAGCATCAGCCTCACCTGGGAATTTGTTGGATATACAAATTCTGAGACTCTACCAATCTATTGAATGGGAGACTCTGGGGGTGGGACCCAGAATTCTATTTTATAGAACGCTTCTGGTGATTCTGATGTATCAGAAAGTTTGAGAACTACTTTCTTTGGCGGCACAACCAAACCACTCCAATCAAAAGAGGATCTACTTCTGAGAAGGGAATAGGAAGACAGACCTTCTTCATAACACATTCTAGAGCATTAAGAGTGTCCCTCCTTAGAACTACCCTAACTTCACATGGAGGATAAATTCATTTCTTCTTCCACAGAGGAGATACAGGACCCTGGTTACTAAAATCTAACACCGAAGTAACTTTTCCTGGGATTGTCAGACATTAGGTGCCTTTCAATCTCCTCCTCAGGACAGATAATCCCAGGTCCTTTTATCTTTATTTATAATCACTCTTGAAACTCATCATCCTTGCTAACCTCCCAAATAAAATATTAACCATATTTTACTCTTCAAATGAATCAAACTTTCTGTCATTGAACCATAGAAATGAATGCCACACAAGATAGAGTTCTTGTATTCTATCTTTTACAATATAAGATATACTTCTTAAAAAGCCCCAAATTTTAGTCCTGTCCTTCCTAGATATTCTTATTCTACTTCCTTACCTCTGTTCTTTATCTTAAAAAAAAAAAAAAGTTTTAGTTCATTGTAAGGTCACTAAGTATTTCACATATATTGAATTAAACATTCTGATCCTCCTTTGCCCTATTAAGTACGAATTGACCAGATGGATATTCCTCTGACTCTCTCCTGAGCAGGTTTTAGTTAATTAAAAATGATTATTTTTATTACATATTTTATATATCAGCCAGATGTTACCTGTGGTCATTTCTAAAAAGGATCATTTGGTGGTGGTTATAAAATACATATTTTCCTTGGGAGGCGAAACCCCTGAGTGCAATCAGGAAAATAAATGTAGAAGTGATTTCACCTCATACCTTTTTCCTAGTACCAAAATGGGCATAGCATTTCATTTCCTTTGAAGGTAGAATTTATTCAAATTTTGTCTTCTTCTTTATATCTCTGCACCCCGGACATATATAAGTTATGTTAAAAAAAAAAATTTTGTCAGGTTGATGGATGAAAAAATATTGTTGCTTTCCCTCTGTATTAGAAGTGTGAGTTAATTTTTCCAAAGAAACTGATTAGGTTTCTCTAGCTTGGATTTACATAAGATGCATATGTATGACATAGCAAATTGTTCTGCTCAATCAGGACTGAGGCTGTATCATATTGCTCTGAGGATACACTTCCAGGTATCTGTAATAGTCCCCACTTGTTCACAGGTGTCCTTTGAAGATACTTTTCATGTGAACAAATTTGTCTGAATTTTCCATTAATGCTGAAATAATCCAGAATGGGGTAAAGATACTGTAATTATGAAACGGTTTTGCAATTACACAAGTCATTTTCTCTTCGTGTATACACAAATTAGAATTCAAGCAAAAAAAAAAATTCCATTTTAAAGGTCACTCTAAATCCTTAAATTCTAACAGATGAAATAAACCATATACCACACTTCACTTAAGCTGGATTGAGATGGCTGGTCTCAGCACACTAATTAGAAGACTCCTAGAGACAAAAGTGAATTTCAAGTTCACGTGCTGACAAACATAATTAGGTATGGCAGAGTGTAAAAACAAGCAAGAAATATTCAGTTCGGGAGACCTGGCTGTGTTTTTGCAAAATATTTCATCATATGGTGGGGATATGGATTCTGGCCTCAGCCCTGACTTTCTACGTGACCTTGTACAAGTCACTTCTCCATGCTGAGTTTCCTTTATCACGTAAAAGAAACACAGGATTGAACTAGATATCCTCTAAAATCGCTTAATGCCCTTCAGTCCTATGATTGTTTTAAAAATAACTTGAAGGCCTAATATGTTTTGCTGAACAACGGCAACAAGTGGGGGGAAAGGGAGGTTGCTTTTATTAACTTAAAAGCTTTGAACACAGAACACAGCAACTCATTTTCTGATTGTATAAAGCATCTGCTCCCAATGTTCTGAAGTACACAAATCTGCTTGTAGGAAATCACAGTCACCTCAGAAATGACCCCTTCCTCTTATGTTTTCCTAGCAATCAACATTAACGCAAGTGCTCTTATTAAAGTCATCTGGGTTATGTTTGATTTCAAGAGCCAGGTAAGGAGGAGCAGACATTCTTGATGAAGAGTCTCATAGTCCTCGGAATAAATTGTCTCCCAAAATATAGCATTACTTACCTTTAGAACAGGCCATGCTCATCAGTCCCTAATAGATTCGAGGGACTCACCAGTTTTAATTTCCTATGTGAATTTGTAATTGTCCGCAGAGGTCAATTTCAGTGGCTGCTTCATATAAATTAAAATTGAAGATAATGATGCCTGTTCACTTGATCAACTAAAATGACCAGCTGGGTTTAATGGGAGGAAAACAGAAACCCCTGTGAAATTGGAAGAGCTTCAAAGGTGATAGAATGTAATTATTTTTCTATAATGTTTCTTCTCCAAAGGTGACTGGCCACTAGACTGGTGGGCACCTGGGCCACCATGTTATGAAGTTGGATAAAACATTCAGAGCCACTGACCATATCCAAAGGCACAAGTCAACCGTCAGCACTCTGCTAAAGGCTTTGGGGAAAATGCAGCATTTCTTTTCCATTCTTATTTTAATCATTTCATTTATAGTAAAAGAAGTGCTCTGAGGAACTTGCTGAATTGACTTCCAAGAGGCAAGTTCTGATTTAGCTTGGTACAGTAAAGTTTTGTTTTCTGTTTTTTGCCATAAGACAGTTTCTTGAAGTTGTTCTAATTATCCTCAGGGTAATGTAATTTTAGGTCTGAAAAGAATTTTTTTTTTTTTTAAAGAGTCTCACTCTGTCATCCTGGGTAGAGTGCCATGGCATCATCATAGCTCACAGCAACCTCAGACTCTTGGGCTCAAGAGATCCTCTTGTCCCAGCCTGCCCAGATGGTGGGACTACAGGCATGCACCACCACACCTGGCTAGTTTTTCTATTTTTAGTAGAGATGGGGGTTTTGCCTTTGTTTAGGTTGGTCTTAAACCCTTGAGCTCAAGCAACTCACTGCCTTCCCTTCCACAGTGTTAGGATTACAGGTGTGAGCCATTACTCTCGGCCTAGGTCTGAAAGAATCTTCGTATCACCAACCCCTTCATTTACAGATGGAGAAACTAAGGTTTACAGATGGAGAAACTAAGGTCAAGAGATGTCAACTGACTGGACCAAGGAGCCAAAGCCAGAAGGAGACAGAGGATGGGCTAGAATTCAGCAAATGACAAGATGAATGAAACCAAACTGAGGCTGGGTCCAGGGTTTTTGCTTATGAGTAAATGGAGAGTCATGTGGAGCGGGGGTGGGGGTAGGGTAACAACAACAACAAAAAAGACTATCAGTGAAAATTGCCATTTAAGCAAACGTAGGATTTATAATGTGGTAGAGGGGCTAGCAAGCAAAAAAGCTGGAGGAGGGAGGCTGGGAGAGATGGAGCAGAGGCAGGGGCAGACCAGCGGCAGATGACCATCCCCGCAGCCGACAGTGAGCTCTGTCTGTGTGGGCCTCTGTGTGCTGAGGGGCAGGGGGCAGGTCTACAGAGGCATGACTGCACGTGCATAATGTACAGAGGTGCTTTATGTGAGATAAATACCCAAGGAATGTACTAGAGAGATTCAGAAAGTCAGGGATAAAAACCTCTTTTTATGTTTAATGAATGAATTTTTCAAAATGTATTGTTATAATTTAAAGTGTTTTTTTAAATATAAACAACCACAAGGACTTTTTTTATTTTAAACATTCCAATGATACTCAAAGTTTCATGTAACAAAGTTGGAAGTTTCATTAGCAAAACAATTAATAGAAGAACATATCCATTGCAAAAATAAAAGATGAATTTTCATGGTGGGAAATTAGTGCTGAATCAGTGACTCCTGAAGTCATTAGAGGAGCAGTTCACGGATGTTTCATTTTCTTCTGCTACGACACGCTATGTGGGCAGCCTAACATTTTTCCCCCTTAGAATTTGATGTTGTCAAAGTTGCCATTAACATTTTACTCAGTTTTTTTGAAAAACCTTCACTATGTTAATAGTGTAGCTGTCCTAATCAAGACCATTCCAGATGTGCCTGAAATGGGTAGCACATGTGGATTAGCTTAAGTTTTCTTTCATTCTTTAAGTTCAATGGCAGTTTTAAGGAAGAAAATGTCAGTTACCTATTCCCCTCTTTTTAAATTAAATAATCTTAGCAGTCATGTAGAGAAATAATTTTTAAACGTTGTTACAAAGGGCATTTTTGGAACTGGCTGCTAATTTAAGACATTGGAAGATCATGATAAGCCGCGTATCGTCCAGTCACATGGTGGTAAATCTGTACGAAAAAATCAGAGTTTAGTTAATAATTATTCCATAATTACACATATCAGTTAATAATTAATAATTGTAATGGACATTTTAGCAAAAAGCCTCACTAGTATGTACAGTGGAGGTCTACTTCAAGGAAGGCAGAGGATTGGGTAGAATGAGGTCAATCAGATTTTTTTCGATTTCTTTCTCCAAAACACTTGTCAATTTCTTCCAAAGAACTGGATTATGACTCACCTGCCTCTCGATGTCCGAAAGCAGAGTGCTGGCACCTATTCGAAAGAGTTCTGGCTTCAGCCACTCATCCCCCAGTTCCTCCTTGACAAGAGACAGCCAAGCCAGGGAATCCTTGGCAGTGCGGATGCCACCTGCTGGCTTAAAACCTACCTAAAAGGGAAAGTAGAGAACAGAATAATCTTCATTGTCATTAGATTGCTTTCAAAAAAATGGTACCATGTTTATACAGACTCTCCTTCTAAACTTTATCAAGCAAAAGAGCTTAGATCAGTGACTCACACACCTTCACACTATGAAATAACTTTTCCAAGATCTTTGGAAGAATAACCCTTATCAACATTTCACTTACTGGAAGGTCATGAACCTCAACTCTAGACTAGAGCTGTGAACCTGAAACAAATAGGAAAACAGATCACAAAAGCCCTTTCATTCTACATTTCTGTAAGTAAGGCTGCATGGCCATCTTTTAGCCTTTATCCTGAGGTTCAAAAGACATAAGAGTATATGTGTATTCAAGATAAGAGGACAGATTCAGTGAGGCCATAGGTCACCTCAACCAAGCAGGCAGGGATCCAGCAAGGAGCGCTGACAGGTGTTTTTATCAACTGCAGGGACTTTTTCTTAAGTTCTAGACGCAGAGTCTAATAGAGCAGTCAGACCAGTCACATAAGGACAGTAGAAAAAGACAGCATAGGGGCTCTTCATACTCCAGTAGTCTATAGGGGTTGACCAGGACATAGCCCAGTTCAGCCAATATCTGATGTTTATGAATGATGCCCCTGGATCCATTAGGAAAGGAAAAATAGGTACTACATACAGTAAAGCCCTGATTATCTAGATTCACATGTTTCAGAAATTTGACTACTCAACAGAGAATCTGTAAGTAAGAGTGGTCAAAACAACATTCCAGAGCCCAGCATTTGCATTTTATCCCTCAAAGCTATTTGTTTGATTGGCTGTACCAGCAGGAGGCGATTGCTAACAGAACACTAAAGAAGGGAGACAATAAATGAATAGTCCTATTATCATGAATAATCTGAATTCTGCCATTCAGCCACTGATGGTCAAGTCCTGCCAATCCCACCTCCTTAGTTTATGGTCTCTCATAGGAACACTTTCTATGTACACTTTCGAGGTTTTTGTTTGTTTGTTTGTTTTTTGAGACAGGAGTCTTGCTCTGTTACACAGCTGGACTGCAGTGGTGTCATCACAGCTCAGTATAACCTCAACTTCCTTGGATCAAGAAATCCTCTTGCCTTAACCTCCCGAGTAGATGGGACTATAGGTTCCTGCCACCAAACCAGGCTAATTTTTCTATTTTTTATAGAGATGAGGTCTTGCTCTTGCCGAGGCTAATCTTGAACTCCTGGCCTCAAGCAGTGCTCACATCTTCCTCTCCAAGTGCTGGGATTACAGGTCTGAGCCACTGTACCTGGCCTACCTTCACTTCTGTTTCAGTTCTGATCCTCATCAAACCCCACATGGAATATCAGTAAACGTTTCCTAACAGGTTTCCATGCCTCAGTCATACAATGTCACACAGCTAAGCAGTAGCAGTGCAGGGATTCTAACCATTCTGCTGCTAACCAGGAACCCAAGCTATGACTCCCTAAGACAGCAGGGGAGGGTGGAGGGGAATAAGCAGAATGAGGTTATTGTTGAGAAAAAGTCAAAAGAGGAAAAAAAAATCAATTCGCTGATATTAACATACATGCTAATCATAGGAGCATTTCTGTCAATTAAGTAATGTTTCAAATAGATTTTCTATGTGGTTCAGTTTATGTCAGCATGTCTGTTTGACAATGTTTCCAAAGAGAGGTTCTAATATAAGTTTATCTTTTCTTTTTAAGAGAGAGAATATGGAAAACATAAATCTACAATGAAATCAGTTATGAAATATTAAATCTCTGCTTCTCAGGAGTGACACTAATCATGATCTAGAAGGCAGCCTATCACATTTTAAAACACCCTTAAATCAACGATGTAGAAACTTTACAGGCTAAGGGCTGTCCAGGCACCTTGTCAACAGCCCAAAAATCCGTACCTGACTTGCAGATATACATACAGATCCTCCTTATTTGAAGTCAGGCATGATTAAATGAGTATGATTTCACTTGTACCTGTCTTTTTCTTAAGAAGACTAGGATGGACTTATTTATTAGCCAAGGAAAGAATCAATATAATTAAAAAGAAAGGAATGAAAGCAGCAGAATGTGCCCCTTTCTGTACTCTGGTCTGGAACATTGAGCACTTTAAACTTCCACTTAAATTCTTTGCCTGCCATCTAAAGAGCTCTTCTGGGAAGGCACTTACTCATTTTAGTACTCCTAGTGTTTAACATAGGTTAACATGGCATCTGGTTAAGTACTCAATAAATGTTTGCTGAGAACAAGACAGGATTGGCTCCCCAATGGTGAGTGTGAACCTGACAATGGAGTTGATGAAACACAGATGTCTGAAGACAACCCCAGGTGTGGAACAGCCAGGGATGGGGCCCGGACATCCGTAAGTACAAAAGCTTTACCTCTGATTTCAGCATTCTTTGAGGGTGAGAACCAGGGTCTAATGAATGGTTATAGTCTCAATCGAGGCCCACAGATAAATTTCTCATTTTTACAACTTTATTAAAAAAAAATGTTTTTTAAACTTATTTGGAACATGCAGAAAGTTTATCAAGTCAAGAGCTTACTCAACTTGGATCACTCGTCATGTGTAGGTCACAGAAGATATTTATCCTATTTGTACTTAAGATGAGAAGTTATTCTAAGGGAGACAATTCTGGATGGAGTTTATTTCTTCTCATAAACCAGTTTATTCCCAAAGGTCTCCTAATTCAAAATAAACGGAAGCTTCAGTCACATATACAGTCGCCACACCCACTTGGCAAAGGACTAAAGGTCTTTTTGGGGGGTATCTGTTCAGCAAAAATCAAAAGATGAGTTTTAAAAGATGGCCCTCAAAAAGGGAAAGTCTCGTTAAACACACACAAACCTAAGACTTTTCTCTCCAATGATGTAAAAAAAAAAAAAAATCCTTTGAGATAATTTGTAGCTAAACAAGGAACTCGAAGTGAAAAGGAAAATCCAAACTCATTTTTAAAAAAGCACCTCATACGTATTTTTCCTTTTAACTTCATATGTTTCGAAAATATGTATTCTTTTTCAAAAAGCGGACAAAAGCCAGCACATACCCTCCTCAGCTTAACAGTCTTCCAAAGAGCACATGCAGCTGCCATAAAACGCAAAAATGGATATTTAATTCAAGAGCCATATAACGTCTAGCTACCTTTTCCCTGCTGTTTCACAGCATTTCATTATTTTGTTTAATAAGTTCATCTCCTCGAGAATTTTCTCTTCACCTCATATTATTAAAAGTAATAAGTTTTTCTGGACCGGGGGTTTCCCAACAGAAAAACCAATTTATGTGTGTCCTTCAATAATGACAGGAAAAGATTATTTCCCATTCTATTGCATACTTTTCATATCACCACCACAGCTTATCATTCAATAAATGTTACTCTGCAATTCTTTCCATTTCTCAAGGAAGTTTAATTTCTGCATTAACCTGTTTTCACTGGCCAACGCCTTGCCAGAAAGCCTCTGTGTTACCGCAGAATTAGTTCGTTAAAGAACCCATTTAGGAATCTCTTGTCAGTGATAAAATTGTCTTCGGTTAATAAAAGGACATAAAGTGAGTTTACATCTTGATCACACATCCTCACGCCGACACTCACACTCACTCTCTGCTAATCGCACATTTTTCTCCATAAATGTGTTCTACAATGAAAGGCAAATTAAACATTTATCTTAATAAAGGTAACTCATTCACACCTTCTGCATATAAAGACAGTTATCCTGGCTGTAACTAGTATTATAAATAACATTATCTTTGCTCTGAAGAAAGATTTGCTGGAAATAACATACCTTGTTTCCAGTTTTCCAGAAGAAATCTCTAATGGCCCGTAGCATTACTATAGCTACCGGGAAGGTGGCATTTACTGTTTCTTTTCCAGTAGAGGTCTTAATAAAATCTGATCCTAAAACAAAAGAAAGAGAAACTCCGTGTTAATTACAAATGTATTTTTTATACTTTTGAGTCGGGGTAGAAGTGACTTGCGTACACTTTTTCCCTGAGGAACACAGCTTTACTTTTCATTAATTATGTGAAAAACTAGAACTCAAATCTCCCTTTAAAATAATTCTGTCCACACACATAGTCCCCCTCACTATCAGATGAATTATATTAGGCACCAAATACATTCTCACCGACCTCTGGTACTCTCGCCTCCAAATTTCCACACTGCCAATTAAAATTAACTTGGTTTATTTACTGTATAACTATGCCCTGTGCTTAATACTATATATTGTGACACTTTACTAAAAATGGCCTACTCATTTTCTCCACACTTTCTTGTGGTTGATAAAAAGTACACAGAACAGTTGCAACAAAACAAGAATCACCATTAGCTGATTTCTATTGCATTCAGCATTGTTAAAAGCACTGTCTTTCATCGAGATTAGGATTTTTATGAAAGACACCCATGCTATTTCATATCTCGCAAATATTTTAAATGGTCTTCCCTTGAATATATCTTAAACTTATTAATGTAGTTTAACAGAATAGCACAAAGAGACAGAGAAATGGTATTAAGAGTTGAGATTCATTAAGTGCTATGCAGTTTAAACCTACGTACATTATAAGTATTAATTCAGGCAATCCTTATAACTGTATGAGTTAAGCAATAATATGGTCTCCATTTTAATTTCAAAGTATTAAGGGGGTACAAATGTTTTGTAATCAATCTCTGAAGCTTGAGTCACAGCTCTAAGTGTGCCGATCACCCCAGTAGTGTTCACTGTACCCATTAGAAAGGTTTTTGCCCACCCCTCCTCCCCTTCCCCCTGCTTGATCTCCCCTAAGTTTGACATTCCTCCGTGCACATCTGTGCTCACTGTTAGCTCCAGTTTAATGATCCCCATTTTCAAAGAAGGAAACTGAGGCACAGAAAAGTTAAGTGACTTGCTGGAGGTCACAAAGTAAGTGGGGGAGGTGGAATTTTAACCAAAGCAATCTTGTTTAACCCGTATGTTATAGTGCCTCTAAGAAGCTTACCTAGGGTCACATAGTCAGTCATATAGCCAAATAGCAAATCCATCTTGTACATAGTTACCCAGGCCTGAAATATTCAAGGTGTGGACCATGCACAAATAGGATGGGCATTGCAAGGGAGTTTGTTAAAAATGTAAACATGGCCAGGAGCAATAGCTCACACCTATAATCCCTTCTGAAGTCCATGACAGGAGGATCACTTAAGGCCAGGAGTTTAAGACCAGCTTGGGCAATATGGCAAGACCTCTTCTCCACAAAAAATAAATTAGCCAGGTGTGCTGATGTGTGCCTGTAGTGCCCACTACTTATAAGGCTGAAGCAGGAGGATCACTTGGGTCCAGGAGTTGGAGGATGCAGTGACCTATGATTACAATGCTGCACTCTAGCCTGTTTAAGAGACCCTATCTCTTAAAGAATTTTTTTAAAAAACGCAGACTTGCAGGCCCTATAGCAGACCAACTGAATTAGAATCTAACATAAGCAAAGGCAGATGCTAAGTTCGTTAATAAATGAATGAATGGATGAACCCTAGAACTGATGCTTGCCGCCTGCAACATCAGAAATAAGACAAAGAAAAGAGATTAAATCCTCCATACAGAAGTAAGAAGGTAAGGGAAACATCCCAAAAGAATTCATGAGACCAAGAGGCGTTTTCCTAACATGGGACATCTTTCAATTCACTAGAAGGCTTTTAGGTACAACACTGGATATCATCCAAATTATTTTAGGCATCTTGAAAAACATCATTAAGACAGAAGACCAAGACCACATTTGGAGATCAGGAAGAAAAGGCATGGTCACTTTAAAAAATTACACCAGAGCCAAACTCTTTTGGATGAGATTTGAGGCAGGGTAAGGGCTGGGGACTCTCTCCCTAATACACAGTATTTGGGAGAGCAGAGCAGAAATACCTACCATGGTAGCAAAGTGGCCCATATGTTATTTGTTTATGGTCGAACCATATTGGTTAGGGGCATGTGCTTTCTCTTTCTTATACACTTCATTATCCCCAAGCACAACACACGGGAGAAACTCAACAAATTATTTTTGATGGCTGAATGGATGGTCACAGCTATCAAGAAAAAGCAAACTATAATATTTTCCAACTTTAGTTGACTAATGAGGAATGGAAAACAATTTTGCATCTCATTACAGTCCCAGTAACAATACTGGGCAGGTTACGGGTGGCTCAGAACAAAATACTGTTTTATTTATTTATTTTGAAATAAAGTTTTTAGAACAGATTTAGGTTTAATAGAAAAATTGCACAGATAATACAGTTTCCATATGCCCCATACCCAGTTTTTTCTATTATTACCATCTTACACAAGTATGGTACATTTGTTACAATTAAGGAACCAATGCTGATGTATGTATTATTATTAACCAAGTCCATACTTTATCTAGATTTCCTTAGGTTTACTCAGTATCCAGTCCCATCTAGGGACCTACAATTATCATGTCTCCATGGATTCCTCTTGGGTGTGACAGCTTCTCAGATTTTCCTTATTTTGACGACCTTGACAGTTTTCCAAGTACTGGTCGGGTATTTTGTGGAATGTCCCTCCACTGGGATTTGTCAAAAATTTTTCTCGTGACTGGACTGAGGTTATGGGCTTTGGGAGGAAAATCATAGAGGTAATGTGCATTTAGGGCCCATCTAGATAATCCGGACTAATCCACTGATTCTACAATCCTTAACAATTACATCCGTAATGATGTAATTTTTTCCAAATAAGATAACATTCACAGGTTCCAGAGATTAGGATGTGAATCTATCTTTGGGAGTCATTATCGGCCATTATTGGCCTAGCGCACTCCCCTGTTGGTACCATTTATTTCCTTGTCTACCTGGGAATTCCAGTACAACGTTGAAGAGCAGTGGTAAGAGAGAACCTTGTTTTGTTCTTACAGGTATGTCAGGGGAAAAGCATCCAGTTTTTCACCATTAAGTATGTTAGCTGAAGTATTTTTGCAGATATTCTTTATTAAGTTGACATTTCCCTGTATTCCTCGTTTGCTGAGAATCTTTATTATGAATGGATCTCACTTGGTTGTGGCATAATTCTTTTTATACATTGTTGAACTCATTCTGCTAATATTTTATTAAGCACTTTTGCATCTGTGCTCATGAAAAATGCTGGTCTATAAGTTTTCTTCCTTGTAGTGTTGTTATCTGACTTTCAATAAGTGTTGTTATCTGACAACACTTAACAACTGCCTTAGAGTAAGGGCAGCCTCAAAAAACAAGCATTTTCTCTCTTACTTTCTCCACAGAGACTATGGAGAATTTGGTATTAGTTCTTTCTCAAATGTTTTGCAAAATTCAATGAAATCATCTAGAGCTGATGATTCTTTTTCTTTTTCTTTTTTTTAAATGAGGTGGAAGCGTTTTTTTTTTAGAGACAGAGTCTTACTTTATTGCCCTTGGTAGGGTGCTGTGTAGTCACAGTAACCTCCAACTCCTGGGCTTAGGCGATTCTCCTGCCTCAGCCTCCCAAGTAGCTGGGACTACAGGCCCACCACAACGCCTGGCTATTTTTTGTTGCAGTTTGGCCAGGGCCAGGTTTGAACCTGCCACCCTTGGTTTATGGGGCCAGTGCCCTACTCACTGAGCCACAGGCGCCGCCCTGATGATTCCTTTTCAAAGGGGTCATTTTCTTTAATTATTTGTTAAATTATTAAATGAAGAATAAATGACTTTATATTTTAAAATTAACATATTTTATAAAACACATAAATGTATGATTACTTAATTTGTATAAATATATTACGTACATAAAATAATCACATAAAATACTTTATGTTAATAAAGAAAATTAAGCTTAAAACAATTTCTCTAATAGATAGAGGCCTATTCAGACTATTTCTCTTTTTAAGTTTTGTCTGTTCATGTCTTTCAAAGAATTGATCCATTTCATCTAAGTGATCAAACTTGTGGGCATGGAGTTGTTCCTATACTCCTTTATCATTCATTCATTCTTTTAATATCCATGGGAACAGCAGATGACCTTTTTTTTCATTTCTGATGTGGATGGTTTTTGTCTTCTCTCTTTTATTCTGAGTTAGCCTCACCAGAGATTTGGCAACTGTATTGATCTTTTCAAAGCCACAGCTTTTAGTATATTAAATTTTTTTCTCTTTTTTTGTTTTATTTTCGATGTCATTGATTTCTGTTCTACTTTCTATTTTTTTTTTCCCCTTTGGTTTGTTGTAGGCTTAAATTGCTCTTCTTTTTCTGCTTTCCTAAAGTGAAAGCTTGTGTTTACATGATTCTTCTCTAATATGTCTATCTACTGCTGTACCTTTCCCTCCAAGCACTGGTTTCTCAGCACTCTACAAATGTTGATGTTGTACTTTTATTTAATTCAAAGTATTTTTAAATTTCTCACGAGACTCTTTGAACCACGCGTTATTTAGAGTGTGTTGTTTAATTTCCAGACACTTTGGGGTCTTTCTGCTAGTGATTTCTAGTTTAGTTTCATTGTGCCTGAGAATATACTTTCAATAATTTCTTTTCTCTTAAATTTATTAAGGTGTGTTTTATGGGCCACCAGTAGCCTATGTTGGTTAACATTCCACATAAACCTGAATATGTATTCTGCTATTGTTGGATGGAGTTTTCTATAAATGTGAAGTTGATCGTGTTGAATGATAATGCTGTTTAAATCAACGTATTTTTTACTGTTATTCTGTCTGTCAGCTATCAATTCCTAAAAGAGGGGTTTTGGAATTTCCAGCTATAATAGATTTGTCTATTTGTCTTTTCAGCTCTATCAGATTTTGATGCTGTATTGCTAGGGGCATATATATATATATATATTCAGGATTTTTATGTCTTCTTGGAGAAATGACCTCTTTATCTTTATGTATTATTCTATTTTCTGAACAGTGTTCTTTTTTTCTAAAGTCTGTTTTGTCTGAAAT